GGGCTTAACACACACGCGCGCACACACACGCGCGCGCACGCGCGCACACACGCACGCGCGCACACACGTGACACGCACTAGTCAACATCATATATATTTGTCTTGTACCACATAATGTTTAATCTGAAGCTACATATTCAGCATATTCAGGGCAGAGTATTGTTCCTGTTAGTGTTTAGTGTGAGATGATAGTGAATATTCCCTTTCTTTCTCCAACAACTTTACCTGATAGTAAGCTAACTTTAGGCAAACCAGCAGCACAACAAATATTTTCAAATAAGACTCACAAACCTGAGTCAACACCAGTCTCATCAGAGCTGGGGTTCTGTCGTTGTACTTTTGGTCTAAAAAAACGTCCTTATGTCCATCTTCACTCATGCGTTTCAGACAGAGACTGCAGAAGCCAGCTGCTGAAGGGCTTCTCTTCAGTCTCAGGTAAACTGTATACTGACTAAGTAGCCTAGTGGTAGAGTGTCTGCCCTGAGATCGGGAGATCAGGGGTTCGACTCCTGGTCGGGTCATACCAAAGATTTTGAGAAAAATGGGACCAATGCCTCCCTGCTTGACACTCAGCATTGGATTGGGGTTGGATTGGGGGGTTAAACCACCAAATAGTTCCCGAGCGCGGCGTGTCTGCAACTCAGGGGATGGGTCAAAATCGGAGAATAAATTTCACCACACACCTGTGTGTGTGACGACTAAATGGGACTTTACAAACTACTGCCAGCTGCGCCCTCTCTGTGTGACTTTGGTACTGCATGTTACTTCCGCGATTTAGATCCGGGGCTTATCATGAAAGATCCGGGGCTTCAGCCCAAGTAGCCGGGCCTAACGCCGCCCCTGCTTTGAGGGCTGATGGATGTCCTGGGCGCTGCCGTCGCCTCCTTCGGCCATTATTTCAGCTTCAAAGTTTTGGTGCCGTTGCAAACTAAAAAGTGCGTGTGCGCGCAGCGGGAACTTCAGCTGAAGCGACGGTGGCTGGTAAGGGTCATCGCGCCGAAACCGCGGCCACGGTAAACCCACCGAGATAATATAGTTTTTTAAAAACTGGACGGTTATTTTTATTGTCAACTTTTTTACCGGGGTTTACCGCTATACCGGTTACCGTGACAACCCTATTTGGGAACATCACTTTTGTTCATGACCTTCTCTGGATTTCCCTCCTTGTGTGCAGTCTCAACAACATGTGTCCAGTCAGCAGACTTCTTCCTGACTGTGTAGCCCACTGATCGTTGGCTTGGGACAGCTTTGCAAGTGTTTGGGTTGATTAGCTGATTAGGATGTGACACAATGAGTTTACAATATTTGACTTTTTACCAATATCCAAACTTTCTGAGATGCCGAATTTAGAGTTTTCTCGTCTCTAGCCATTACTATTACAGGCTTGGAATATTTCACTCTGTGAAATCAATCTATATAATACATGAGTGTCCCTATTCTAGATACCCCCATCCCTTTGGGAGTACACAATACAGCCTTGTGTCACACAAGGACAAGTCATTTAGCCGAGGTGGCTCCATCAAAGGGATGACAGCCTGAGCCGAAATCTCAAGAGGACTCCACCAACACACAAACACAAAAACGTACAAACCCTTAGAAAAGCTCAGCGGCCTTTTCATTCACAGCTTTGATAGTGCGTGTTAAGTGAGCCATTCCCCTGACAGCAAGGATAAAATGCTTAGTCAGCTTATTGTTATCATAGCCCTGGAAAAATGCATTGGAATAACAGCTCAATTCATCCTCCTGGATTAATTTGCTACTTAACATTGTTCTCATTCAGAGGAAAATGTGAGGACATCTAGTTAATATAAGCACAATGGCTCCAAGCAAATCCACAATCACCAAATCATCTACCGACACGACCACTAATGGCCAAGTACATGTTGTTGTATACTGTAGAAAACAGGGTACCGATAGCTGAAAACATACTTTGACAGACTCATAAGTAATGAGTTAACACTAATGGTGATGCTATTACCCACTCCCACAGTGGTTATTCTCAGGTCTACTTCTGGACATGGAACACATCAGTAAGGTATTCAATCATCCATTGTCAGGCAGGAGCCAGCTAACATCAGTGGTATCTTCTCCAGCTTATTAACCCAGTTAGTCTCAGCTCTTAACGTTATCCTCCCCAGGTCCACATGCGCCTGGTGCGAGAGAGTGATGCTCCCATGTTTGGAAACTAAACCAGGCTTGAGAAATGAGCCTTGGTAAGCATTTTCAACGCTGACACTGTCCTCAATTGGATATTAATGATGAGATGAAGACTGTGGAACAAGGCCAGAGTGTTTAGACACACATTGTGGATTTGTTCATGTGTGTGTTTCAAATTGTTCCTTCATGGATGTTATAGGGAATGGTGGCACATTTTTCTGCTGATTCGGTAGCATTCACACTCAGTCATTCACTAGATCTGGGGCACGGTGCTGGCCAACAGAACGAGGCCAGCTGTCGTTGCTGGTAAAGAATCAACAGGATACTTGTTGTTTGTCTTTGGGTTTCAGAAACATTCTGTACCAAACCAACAGACTGAATGGCGTCCACTCTATGGGTTAGCACTGAGATGATGGGAAACAGGTGCATTAACCTATCACAAGAACCCGTTTGTGAGAATGAGGTCACATATAATGTTTTAAACAACCTTCTTATTGACTTAATGTCATGGATTTCTTGAAATAGAAAAGGGTTTTAATGAATAGTTATGAATGTTTGAAGTTTGTCCTCAGATTTAAATGAAAGTCTGCATCCATGCGGACTTGAGTGAAGTGTGTTACCCATAATCCATTGCTGTGGGAAAACAGGCTCAAGTTCCTTTTCTGAAAATATGTATTTTCTAATGAAATTATTTCATTTTAGGATGATTAGTTGATGCTCTGAATGTTTTAGACAAAGCAGCAATGATTTTGTGTTTCACGCACTCAAAGTCTTAATGCTCACGCTCTCCAAATGCACTTTGCTGAAGTATTGGGAATGGGCCCTAGAGAGTAGAATTAGCAATATTAGCAACAGTGGAAGCTACATGCTGGAACGTGTGGAACACTCCTTTTTGGAGTTTGGGTTGGAGTCTTTAATCAAAGAAGTGTTAATGGCAGCGCTTTTTTCTTTTTCAGCGTTGTTGTTTTTGTTAGTCGTCGGCTTTTAGTGACGTATGCTTTGTGGGGGTGTGCTCATGACGTTAGCTCTTCCTACTCGAACAAGACGTCGTGCAGTCTGGCTCACTTAAATCTTAGACCGTACACTGTGCCACCTCTAGTGTTCTCACAGTGTGGCATGAGCAGTCCTGTGTGACAGCCAGCAAACTCACAGCGTGGACCGGGCTTAAACCCTTGCTGGTAAAGGTTAGGTGTTGCACAAATGGTAAATGGTCTGTATTTGATATAGCACCTTCTAGAGTCCTAGAACCCCCCAAGGCACTTTACAACACAACCAGTCATTCACCCATTCACACACACATTCACACACTGGCCCCTCCGACCACCACCAGCAGGCAATGTGGGTTAAGTGTCTTGCCCAAGGACACAACGACAGCGACAGACTGAGCGGGGCTCGAACCTGCAACCTTCCGATTACAGGTCGAGCACTTAACTCCTGTGCCACCGTCGCCCACAATGTCCAACAAATCTTCATTCAGCATAGACGCTCCAGAAAATCACTTATGGTTGACTCCCTTTTGAACCTCTAGGCTCCCATAGAAACTCTTCTCCACTGTTACAGCAGTGCTGTCTGCCCGTGTTCTCTTCAGGGGACTGATCCATTACTAGTTGTTGTTAGTTGGAAATGATTAATTTCATATATTTTTTCATATTTCATAAGCCTGTGTCTTTTAGATATTGATAAAATCTAACATTTATAACATTGCTGTGTTTATAACTTAAACAAACATAATGAATAGCAGAAAATACCAAATTTAATTGTTGCATACTACCCTATAAAAAGGGGGTTATTATGAAGATGTTTCGAAACCTTCAGAGACTGGAACTTCTGCCTCTGGTTAGCCTGTGAAGATAAATGCTGTTCCTCTCACTGCATTCGTATTATCTGACCATAGAAAAGCTCCCCAGCATCACGGCTCATTCAGCAGGTCCCTCTAATTTGATTAAAGAATGGCCAATCTTGTTTCAAATATGCAATGCAATAGAGAGGAGAAGATAAATTCAATCAGAAACCTGCTGGATATAAATACAGCTTTACTGTAACCAGGTTTCTGCCATGTGTGGCTTGTTTCTGCCTGTAACCTCATTTATCCAAATATTCTGGTTTCCTGTTTGCATAGAAACATAAAAACACTGAGGATGGTGTGTCTGCTCAATTTCTTCTTAATTTAGAGAGAATTTGTAATAGAATTGCCTTTTTGTCCTTAAATTGAGTGGTCTTGTTTAAAAAATGGGACCAATCATGTCTTAGAAAATAAAAACAATGTCACGTGTCATTACGCTTCGTTTTTGACATGTTGGCATATACAAATTCCATCTTATGTTGGTTAATAAAGTAAATGAATTAAGGGTGTGGATCTTTGTCCAGTGGTCAGTGATCCAACTCATTAAAGAGACAATGTGTATTTTTACAGTTAAGCTCTGGAAATATCCATTAAAACATTGTTGAAAATACATAAAATAATATCCAGTGCTGATTCTTTTAGCCCTAACAGGAGGCAACTGTTTGAGAGAAGCTAAATATTTTTATATAGCATACAAACTTTATTCCTTCTTCTGGAATGTTATTGGATCCAACTGACCAGGCAAGTTGCCATTTTCATAAGCTAGCTAACAGTTGGAATCATTGATGAAAAAGCAGTAGTCCTATAAAAGATGAATGGCAGCAAAGGAAGAGTAGTACACTGAAAGAATAGCTACTTAACGTCCACATCTCTACGGTGAAAGCACCACATTTTATAAACCTTTTCAGACATATTGGGTTGGAATGCTAAATAATGCTTTAAAACTGTGACATTCCCTCCTCCCACGACAACACAACATTTAATCAAAACTCTGTCTTACATTTGTTGCAACTCATGCTGTTCACCACCATAACAAGATCGGAGGATGGTCTGCGTCTCAGAGTCCCACAGGTGCTCCTTCAGGAAGTTTCCTGCCTGCTTCGCTCTCTCCAGTAAGGCCTCGTCCCCCAGCACCGCTCCGACCCGAGCGAAGGCCGACAGCATCAGGCCTGCACAGGAAAGGAAGCTGAAATGAAGGTGTTTGTAGAGGTCATTAGTTACAAATTATGTGTTGTGTCTGCTAAGGTGCAGGTGTGTAGCTGCACTGAAGTCCCGCCATGTTTTTTTTCCCCTCTTTGAAGTTCACTCTCATTCCTTCACTCATCCTACATCCTTTCCTCTCCTCTTTCATGTGAACGTATCAAAGCCAGCGGAGCCCAGCTGGGTCTTCAAAGTGCCTCAGCAGAGGACAGGTGATTAATGGTGGAGTTTGCTCATTAGGGATGAGAAAAAGCGGCTTGGGACTAATTGGAATAATCTCGGGATCGCAGAGCCTCGTTTTCTCAGAGAAAATGGAGGGACCCAAGTCAGTGGCTGTTCGTGTGTCTGTGCTTAGTAATGAACTATGTTTGAAATAATGGGCAAAACAAACAATGTATCAACATTAGCATCACCTTAATGAGGGATAACAAGTTTTTTTCTATTTTTTTACACATAATTTGACACCAGAGATTAAACTTCTTCATCAAGCAGCTTCTACTTTTGCTGCTAACACTTCTACAAATGTGTGAGGTGTACCGTTCCAGGAGGCCAGCATCTTGGTGTCCAGGTGTGGGCGTGGCCGAGTTATCCTCATGTCTGCCATTTTGGCTCTGGCAGAGGCCAAGAGGTGGTTGACCTTCTCAACCGTGATGCCAAATCGAGCAGCTGTGAGCTCAACTGAGTAACGAACAATCAGCACATTCTGGCCCTGCAGCTCCCCGTGAGGGTCCTGGCAGCAGAAACGAGAGTGCTGTTGACCTGGGCTGGCACTTTAAATTCAAAATGTTCAACACCAGCAGGAAAAAACATAATGAACTGGTCTGACAAACTAAATATTCACAGTTGTTTTCATTCAGTTGAGATTTTTCATATTCCCAGGGCTCTTATCTTGAAGGGGTTTTAAAGACCATTACGTCTGAGGTTTGTGTAGCTGATGCTTTCAGGATAGTAAACACGGACTCATTACACCAAACAGCCTCATATTTAATGTAATAAATAAATCAACAGTCGACTCAGAGCCCTTCACTGACTCGGGGTCACATGTGGTCACAACGCCTAAACTTTGGACAAAAGGTGCATGATTTCTATCCAGATCAATCAGAAACTTTATATCTTTAATGTGTTAATTACGATTAATTAATTCGAAATAAATAATGCGTAAAAATAATGTGCGCATTTAATAACAGCTTGCATTTTAAGCAAGGCGGAACCTATATCATTACATGATTTCCTCATAGACCGAATATAACGGACGCACACAACAACGCACAATGCTCTGTTAATGGCTGCTAAATCTGAATGATTTGAAGAAATTGTCTTGCTTGGACTGATGCAGTATTTGGGGAACATGTCAATCTCTTCTCTTAACTCGTAAAAAAAATAAAAATTTCTTGAAAACTACGGAGTCCGTGTCGCGGACATTATTCAGAGATCGTCTGTGATCTTTCCTGCTGCCAGCTGCTCGGTGGCACCGTAAACTTTATAAAAGTTGAGGTAAGCTATATTTTTAACATTTATGTTGCATTTGTGCAGCGCTGAAAGCAGCAGACAGAACAGTAGCTTATGAAAAAAGTCAGACAAACGAGAGGCACCTGGCTGCAAGGTGCAGCTGGGAAAACGCTCCGTGTTCTCACTACTCTGTAAACAATCACAAACGTGTCTTAAAGTAACAGAAACAACCTAAAATCGTTCTGATAATTTTCTAAACAATTTTGTCGGTTTATTTTATGTTTCTGAGATGACTGACGGTCTAAACTTGTTTCATATGGCCCAGTGAACATTTGAATAATTAAATGTATTCTTTTAGAAATTAAAAAGCTTTAGTTTACAGTAATAATAACCATGTCTGATGTTTGATTCTCTGTCTCATTATTTTTCATAAAAAAAACTGCTTTGAGGGCACATTTCCCCCAAACAATTAAAATGTGATTAATTAAGATTAATTAACTATAAAGCCTCTAATTAGATAATTTTTTAATCGAGTCCCACCCCTAATCTTTAGATGAATTTGAGCCAAATGGTTTGTAAAAGTATAGAGAAGTTTTACACAGCTTTAGCAAAATATTACTATCAAAACTGTAATTTATTGTCATTTTTTATTTTATCTCATCAACAGATGTCCATTCCTTCGTGAACAGCCTGGATTAATTACTTATTCAATGTGGATACAAAATTAACTGCAGCCTTTTAATGTTGAGTTTCAGCAGCCTTCCTGAACCTACTTGCTCTGGAGCAACATTGCCTTGCTCCTTGACCCCATAGTGGTGCATAAAGATGTCTGCCTGCGTGGCGCCTCCAGTGGAGCCCTCTGCCACATCGGACAAGAGCTCCCGAACTTCTGACGGTGTCCTGACACAAAACGCTCCTTCCCGCTTGTCTGGCCCCCCTGATGCTGGAACAGAGTCAGCATCCTCTGCACTGTAGAAGCCTCCAGACTGGAAAAAGGGGGAGAAAGTAGCAGACAATGATGAACTAAAGTTTTTGAAACTCTTTTTAAATTAAAAGATCTAGACATGTAAAACAATTGTGCTCTTTAACTAAATCAATTTTTAACCCTCCCACTATTTTTGAGGTCCACATGGCAGGGGTGAGGTGGTGCTCACTCCTCACCCCTGCCATGTGGACCTCAAGGGATAAACCATCAACCCTGCTTAATGGTCAACTTTCTTTGCGGGGTCACCCATGAAGACAGTGGGAGGTTTAAAAACGAAATTACCCATCAGCAACTCCTGTATCTCAGACATTGAACTTCAGTGGCCGAGTTCATTCTTTGGAAATATTTGTCACCTTTAATGAACATCCAAACTTTCGACTTAAGGCATAACCCAAGGCACCTTTCCAGGTCCCTCTGATTTTGTCCCTTTATTGACACAGTAATGGACATGGGGTTCCTTTAAACTTTACTTCCAATCAGCCAGATGTTCTGGTCATCTTAAAAGTTGACCTAATGGTTATTTCTTCAGACTTTTTTTCTTGTTTTCTGGCCAGTTACAGTTCTCCTGCAGACAGATGTCTTGATATCACCATCCTGTATTTTAAACAATTATTGCATGTGAGCATGCCTTGTTGATCTCGGATCAGTGCTTGTTAGATATAGCTTTAAATGGAAGTTACACACAACCAGGATTCATGAACACCAGCTGGTGATGTTACCAGAGCCCACATCAGTATAAAGTCAAACTGAAGGCAGCTCTATGTAGCATTCTGACCTGCTTTAACTGGAGACAAAAAACACACAAACTGCAATAAGATGAAAGATGATGAGCTGGTGCTTCACTGCTAATAAGACTTTTAAATAGTTATGCGAAAATAACTTCAAATCTGTTGCTCAGAACCTTTTCATTGGTTGTTCGTCTCCTTGAGCCTCCAGCCCCAATGTACAGTATTGTTTCAATTGGCCCAATAACAAGTTGGTGCCCTATTATGCCACAACTGATGTAAAACCATGGATGGCCAATAATAAGGATTAAGAGCCAAGTGCTGCCATACAATTACAACTGATGACAAATGTGTTCATCTGACACTGATTTGAAACATGATTTATATCAATTCATCAATTATTGAGTTCATGAAATAATCAGTGTTATACAAAGTCACTAGCTTTACCATAATTATCATGTTATGCCACAAGCTTAAACTTAGCCCCAGGAGCTTGAACTTGAACATTTTTTGTCACACCCCGCAAAAACTTTGTCAATTAATTAATTATCTGAAAACCTATTATTTTATTACTTTCTTTTCCTTTCCTACCTTTGTGCATTTTCTCTCTTCTTTTTATAAAAAAATAACACTTAATCAGTTCATTAGTGGGGTCTATGTTGAAGAAAGATTTTATATAAGTCCATTAAAAATTAGATATATTTCCAAATAAAGCTATTCATTTCAGTCTACTGCACTTAACAGGGGGAAATGTTGCAGTCATTTGTTTAATTTGTTTAATTACAAATTGCTTAATTATAAATGTTACTGAAATATGACAAAGAACAAATGAATAATTGTCAAACTTTTATTCTGCCAAATGAGTGTGCAGTTGACAGTTTTAATATATGAATAACACTGCTATGATATGGAATAAAGGAGAATGTAATTAACAATTACAAGACAAAATAACAGTATATATAAAAATTAGGGCTGGGACTTGATTAAAAATGTTAATCTAATTAATTAGAGGCTTTGTAATTAATTTATCTAAATTAATCACATTTTAATCGTTCAGGAAAATGTGCTTTCAAAGCAAAACTGAATTAAAATTATGAGACGGAGAATTAAACATTAGACATAGTTATTACTGTAAAACTAAAGCTTTTAATAAAAAATGCATTTTAATTAATCAAACGTCACTGTGTTATATGAAACAAAACCCATATAAACTAAAATTTATAATTACAAATAGAAAACGCCTGCAAAGGGTTGCTGAGCCTTTAAATAGTCTCTCTGTCTAGTTGAACTACTGAAATAAATTTGACTTTGCACCAGATTCTAATTTTTCCAGATTCTAATTTTTCCAGTTTCACTTGTTGTATAATTGGGAGTTTTTACTAGCATGTCTATTCATAATGTAGTAAAAGCACATAAATAATAATCCTTCAAAATGACAGTAGAACAGGCACAAATATGATCTAGGACTTAAATGTACTAACTTTTAACACCAGAGCAGGCGTGGCATATTCTGAGAATGATCAGGAACACTAACTGGTTGCAGTTGGATGACTGGAGGATGATGGGATGATAAAAGATCATGGCGAGGAAATAAAGATGTGACGAACAGGTGAGCGGACCTTCCTTACATGGGAAGTCCTAATGTCACGTTAAGAAGGGGATGCTGCAGACCCGCAGATTCATGCCTGCAGCAGCGAATCTGGTGTGATCTCCAACCTGATCACAACTTCCTCGTTCCTCGCTGCTCCTGATACATTTAAGCATCCGCCCCGTAGCTGATGACAGCTTCAGCACACCTCGATGCTTAATGATAGTAATGCATGTGATGTTTAGACAGAGACTCGTCTCAGAAACATATAATTCCCCGACAGAATTGTTTAGAAAATCATCAGAAAAGTTTCAGTGTTTCTGTTTTAACTTAAACTTCTGTTTTCAACTTTAAGACACGTTGTTTGTGATTGTTTACAGAGTAGTGAGAACACGGAGCGTTCTCCCAGCGGCAGCCAGGTGCCTCTCGTTTGTCTGACTACTTTCATAAACTACTGTTAGGGCACAGAATTATTCTGTCTGGTGCTTTCAGCGGTGCACAGATGTTACGTAAATGTTAAAAATATAGCTTACCGCAACTTTTGTAAAGTTTCCAGTGCCACCGGGCAGCCGAAGCAGAGACGATCTCTGAAAAATGTCCGTGGCACGAACTTCGTTGTTGTCTGGAAGTTCGTTTTTTTCAAGTTAAGGAAAGAGGCGGACGGGGTTCCTAAATCCTGCATCAGTCCAAGCAAGGCAACTTCTCTCCGTTTTTATTTCGTTTTAGTATCCATTAGCACTGTGCATTGTTGTGTGCGTCAGTGATATTCTGTCTACGAGGAAGTCGTGTAATGACAAAGGTTCCGCCGTGCTCGAAATGCAAGGAATTAATCATAATTAACGCATTAAAGTCCCAGCCCTAAAAAAACTCAAAATGATAGGGGGGCTTGTGATGAAGCCCCCCTAAAACGGACCTAACAATGTCAGCGAGCGGTAGTCTAACGCTATTGGTTAGCTCTGCTCGGCGCTCAGTTCCCTATTAAAAGGAGCTCTGCGGGGCAGGGGGCGTGCATACCAAAAAAAAAAATTTTAAAGGACGTATTGCTTACATTTTATCACAGTACATGATAAGATAATCACTTTTACAGATTTCTGAAAACTCTTATATCATTTCTGAAAAGGGAAAACTCCGGAAAGCAGCTTTAAGATTACAAAAAATAACTGTGTGGCTTTCTATCAGCTGTGCTTGACCTGGACCTGCTGGACCTGACTGCAGCCTTTGACAGTGTTGACCATCACCTGTTACTGGAGAGGCTCAGAGACTGGGCAGGTCTCAGGACCTGCTCTGGAGTGGTTCTCTTCAAATCTGTCCAGGCATTCCTTCTCTGTGGCCAGCTCCAAGTTTCGGTTCTCCACCATCTCCGTCACCCATGGTGTCCCACAAGGTTCTGTGCTGGGGCCTCTACTGCTCCTCCTTTATCTACTTCTTCTCCAACACATGCTGAGCTCTTTTAAATGAATCTCCAGCCATCTTTACGCAGATGACATCCAACTGTACATCTCCTTTAAGTCCCATGAGATGTCTAAGCTGCAGATGTTACACACCTGCTTAGACTCTATCAAAACCTGGATGGCTGGGAGCTTTCTACAGCTGAATTAATATAAGACTGAGATCCTCATCTGTGCCCCAGACAAGCTGGTTCCCAAAGTCAGAGACTCTCTTGGTCAGTTTGCTTTTCACACCAAACAGTCTGTCAGGAATCTTGGCATAACCTTTGACCCAGCTCTCACCCTGGATTCTCTTTTATTTTTATTTTTTTCGTGTCCTGTCTGGCTGTGAAGCAAACAGAATTGATGTCTGAATGCCAGTGACAAGCCTTTAAGATTTACTCTCAGGTGGAGCATCAAATCGTCTGCTTTTAATGTCACACCTGATACTCAAAACTTTATTGTTATTGTTTTTGACTGCTTTTTAATTCCGACCAGACACGGAGACATAGGTGAAAGGGAAAGGAAGAGACAAAAGGTATGTGTGCGGGGGGGGTCCACAAAAATAATAATGAACAAGAGTCTGCTTCTAGACCTGCGGAGAGAGAAAAAAAATGGGACACAACAACAATACAACAAGCTATCATTGCATCAACTTGATGAAGAAATATATAATCAACATTGTTTAACTGAACAATCACACAATAATAAATCACTGTGCAGTGAGACTGCAACCAGAAAAGCCCCCGACGCCCTTGAGAGGCGCAGAGGATCGCCCCGGGGTGCCACAACCAGCAGCCGGTAGAGTCCCGGAAGATATTGGCGGCAAGCCCACAGGCCGGGACCCAGCGACCCGGGACCCAGCGACCCGGGACCTATGGGCAACCACCCCCGCCGGGGACCCAGCAGAGCCCAGGAACCCAGACCCCACCAGGCAGTCACCAGGATTCGTCAAGCAGACACCATACAGGTGCTGGCCAGTAAATTAGAATATCATCAAAAGGTTGAAAATATTTCAGTAATTCCATTCAAAACGTGAAACTTGTACATTATATTCATGCAATGCACACAGACCAATGTATTTCCAATGTTCATTACATTTAAATTTGATATTCATAAGTGACAACTAATGAAAACTCCAAATTTGGTATCTCAAAAAATTAGAATATTCTGAAAAGGCTGAATATAGAAGACACCTGCTGCCACTCTAATCAGCTGATTTACTCAAAACACCTGCAAAGGCCTTTAAAAGGTCCCTCAG